AACTCCATAGGTTGAGTGGAAGAAAGCACTTGTTCGACTCAACACCGAGTCCGAACCAGAGCTAACTCTGCCTTTTGATAGATGATGATCATTATCTGTCAATAAAAGCGATTATTATGATTATTATTATCTTCAGAGAACATGTCGCACATGGACGGTGTCAGCTCTCCTAATCACCGCTGCAGTAAGAGCGCTCATACTGTACAACCGCGACATGTTCATTGAAGACGAGTGTACATATCCTTAATTAACATATGGTATTATATTCCGTCATTGAATGGCTACGTACTACACAGCACCATATACCATATCATTCGAAGTTTGTTTATGGGAATTTGGGATATGACGGAAACGAATATATAGGGTATGTACTTCGTCGACCTCTACAAAAAATCACATTCTACTTTCTAATTTACGAACGAAAAACCGACTATTTCTGAGGGCAAGTACTTTTCGTCAACAGACACTAACTTTTCGTCCGCAAACACTTTTCGTCCGCTGCAGGGTTGCCAGTTCTACTGACTTTTCAGTAGATCTCCTGTTTTGCATATTGATCTACTGATCTATACTGAACCATTTCATGATCTACTGAAAAATATTTTGACACTCTATCATTATTATAATTACCAATATTATTAGTAATCTATCAATCTATTGAACATAAAGTGATGAATTTGCACATAGGTACTAATGATATGTTTAAACCAAAAACATTCGATACTTTATCTGATTCAGATCAAATAAACAATCTTTTATATGTACCTCTGTTATAACAGTTTGTTTCTTCCGTTTGATTTTTTACCTGTTTGTATATTTTGTTCATTTTCACTATTCGCGTTCCTTTTTTATATTCTCAAATATTACAAGTACCAATGTAACTGAATTTTGGGACGAGAATTTGGAATATGATTATTTTTGTATGAGAATGTTTGTTTTGTTTGTTTCTTCTTTGTTGAAAATATGTTACTTCTCTGTTTACTAAGAGTACATAATATCTTTCCATTATCCTTTCTTGGAATTAGTATAGCAATAAAAATAGTTGGCAACAACTGTCATTTGCTGTTATTCACATTTGTTATTCACAAAATCTGACAGATTTCACGTGGGAATAGGACTATGATGTGAATATAAGTGTTTGAGGTCGACGAAAAAATGTAATATTCACCTCGGCGAAAAACTGTCTATTGTCTCTCCTGATTGCTAGCCTCTTTGCTATAATAGACAGTGTTTCGGGCTCGGTTCTTCAATAACTATTTTATCACAAACACCCGATATGTAGTGGATTGCGAAATTTTAATTCTTTTAATGACCAGGGGCGTAGCTACCGCCGTATCAGCCATATCAATGATGCGGCGATCCCCCGCGCTACAGGGGCCACGACTTGTGTTATCAAAGATTCGTAAAATGTTATCGAACGTTTTACTCAAACTATCAGCACCTATCAAGCCGTACAGTTGTTGACATTGATGCTGGAACTTGTCCAGATTTTGCAAGGAACCGTCTCAGGCATTTATTGTTGCCTAAACGCTAAACTACAAAAGTTGACAACACTCAGCAAACATCAGCATTACAGAATTGTACTCCACAGTCAATTCGAACTATTGCTATTCAGAAAAATGTTAGTTCCTCAAACTAAAAAAAGATTGCAGGAACTATATGACACGAGTATTACTTTCGCAGTGTTGAATCCAGAAATACTCGTCTGTAAGAAAAATTAAAATAGGAAGCCGGTAAACTGTCTGGTGAATACAGTAAAGATGTGTTTGTTGATGTGTATAAATACTGCGGAATCGTGCTTGAAATCTGAAATTCAGAAAATTAATTCCACACTGAGGAAAATCTTGCCAATATCTTTGAGTATTCACTGTGTATATAATCAAGGCTATTATAGAGTTTTTGCAACCATTACAAAAAATACTATTAACGTTACACATTTTCGAATAGCAGCAGCACATTGGAATCCTATGATGGTATAACGATTTTGCTGTAAGGGATTTTGAATTGACTCGGCCGTTTCTTAATGGAAATCCATGGCAAATGTAAAAACTTCACAAACGATGAGATTTCCACAAAATTCTCAAACACATGACATGTTTCGCTAACATAGTAGCTTCATTGGGTAAAATATGGTACAATGAACTGAACTATAACCTTGGCTTGCCTAACTTTTATATATATCCTACTTTCCCAGCCTGACGGATTAGAATTAATGACTTTGTGTATCATTTAGTATCTAATAAATACTTGACTCCACTTTGAGAAACCATGGATTATAATTAATGTGTTCGAATATGAATATTCTGAAAAAAATTTCACAACCGAAAAAACTTTGAAAAATTTTGAAGAGCTGCCTCCTTTTCGCACCGGCGGGGATTATCTGAGATATTTCAATATGAATCATGCACTATTGTATGAGAAAACCAGATTCTATCAATAGTTTTCATTCAGAAAAGAGTCACAATATCATTATATTTCGTTATAGCAATGAATTTTAACATCTTCGAAGCTTTCTACTAGACTGGCTAGGCTGTTTTTTTGCTTGGCACTCAAGCCTGTCGTAAGACCACATACCTACACTATGCTGATTCGTATTTAGTTGCTAGTTCTTTCATAGATACGGAGGACTCTTGAGAGATTATGACGCCGAGTATATCAGGACAAGGAAGAGTCAGATCTGCTCCAGGTTCATGAATGGTAAAGGCCTCCCAGTGTATTTCTATAACTATATTACAAATGTTTGTTTCCGTTTGTTAACCTCCTCGAAGAGTTTGCTGAGATGGTCATTGAAATTGTCAGTGAAATTTAGAAATTCTTGATCAAACTTCATCAAGCCAGCTATGTATTATTTTGAAGAATTAATTATTACTGCTAATGGTATACAGTGTGTCCATTTAGTACGTAATTCTTCGATATCTCGAAAGCCATAACCCATTGGGAAAAACTTTGGGGAAAAAACTTTTTCAGTTACTGAAGTTTCTCATTTCAAAAATTTTTCAACATTACTGGGTGTTTTATACAAGCGGGGCAACTCGAAAAAGAGTTTTTTTGAATGGAACACCCAGTATTGTTTATTGGGAATGAATTCCGCCGAGGTTCACCTTCACATCGCTGTAAAAAAATTGAAATCGGTTGCGGCGTTGCCAAGTTATAATTGATAAATCTATTCTTACCATTATTGAAGAGTCATGTTCAATTGGGCATGGTATATTCATTTATTCAAATTTTGAAAATATTTTTGGCATACGGCAGAAGCAAGGTCCCACGTATACCAATCCAGTAATTTTGCGACATGTTCTTCAACAGGGTGCTCAATTTTGCATTTAGAATTTTGCAAGATTCAGATGACATTCATCAGAATTTTTCAAATGGAACACTCTGTATTTTAATTCAAAAATTCAGTCCGACATCTTTCGCCTTTTTATCGCTGGAGAAAAAATCGAAATCGGTTGCGACGTTGTCAAGTTATGAATAATTTCCTTATTTTCACTACTATTTCGGGGTAATTTGTACGTCATAGTTCTTTCATTTATTTGTATTGTGGAAATATTGCGTTGCTACGGTATAATCAAATCTGTTGACCATTCATATATTTTTTCACAATAGGAACATTAACAGGCTCTACTAGTTTGAATTTTTTTCGAAATACACTTATATTTGTGTAATGACCTGTCAAACATCGCCACAATCAAATATATCTTGGATTGATTTGAAATTATGCTGAATTCCGTCCCAAAAGCCGCGTATAGAAGAGACATATTGTTTGTATCAATATGTTTACCTCCTTCAAGTTAAATGGAGATTTGGATTGTGGGAATAACGACAATAAAAATGGCCCAAATTTCAAAAAACTGTCCTGATTTTCGCAATCCGCATCTTCATTGTTTGTATTGTAGAAGTTGTTCAAAAGGCAGGCGTTGATTTTGGCATGTTTGTTTCACATATTATTTAAATCATAAGTATATAACGAGATTACGGAATATTTCAATTTTAGACGATGCACATATCGCAAAAATACCTGAATGATCTATGTAGAACCTCGAATGTCATGTCACAAGCAATATTCCCACACTCAAATCGAATAAAAGAACCATCATGACATACAAATCACCTCGAAATAGTAGTAAAAATAAGGAAATTACTCATTACTTGAAAACACCGCAACCGATTTCGATTTTTTCTTCAGCGATGAAAAGGCGAATGATATCGAAATAAATCTGTGATGAAAAATACAGGGTGTTCCATTTGAAAAATTCTTATGATCGTCGTCTGAATCTTACATTATTCAGAATGTGAATTTTAGCACCCTGTAAAGGATTATCTCGCAAGATTACTGGCTTGGTATACGTGATACCTTGTTACTACTGTATGCCAAGAATATTTTCGAAATTTCAATAAATTAATATACCATACCCAATTGAAAATGACCCTTCAATAGTAGTAAAAATGGGTTTATCAATTATAACTTGGCAACGCCGCAACCAAATTCAATTTTTTTTTACAGCGATGTAGAGCTGAACCTTAGCGGAATAAATTTCGAATGAACAATACTGAGTCTTCCATTTAAAAAAACTCGTCTTCGAGTTGCCCCGCTTTCATAAAACTCCCAGTATTGTTGGAAATATTTTTGAAATGAGCAACTTCAGTAACTGAAAAAGTTGTTTCCCCAAAGTTTTCCTCTTGTGATAATTGATTTCGAGATATCGAAGAATTACGCACTGTATAGATGGTATACCGGTGCTGCATCGAAACGGTAGAAACTACAACTAATTTGATGCAAGCTCTGGAGCTGCCTCTTTTTATCAAAACTACTCAAGACACTTGCTTCGTTCTTCCTCCAATCGATTGAGCACTTTTTTGTCACTGGTTTTCATTATAAAAGTGAAAATCGTGTTAAAGTGGAGCTGCCCCCGTTTGACTTGTCTTCAATAATTGACAATTGAAAAAAATAGATGGGTAATGATATGGGATGAGAACAAAAAAAAAAAGAAAAAAAAACGTACCCCTTCTTCTGAGCCTGTTCACATCCGGTTGACTCTTGCTCATATTATCCTCCCTCAGACTCTTCAACGAATCGACGAACTCCCTTCTACAAGAATCATTATCGGAGAGATCCGGTTGGGAATACGACAACCTCACAGGTGTCGCGAACCTAGGCGTGGGCTTGACGATTTCCTTGGGAGGTGAACGTCTCCTTTCCGGTGACGAACTTCCTAAGCTGTAACTAGATTCCCGGTCAGGCGTCACCGTAGACACGCTATCGTCCCGCCAGTTCACTTCGGATACAACCGGTGAGAAGTGGACACCTTTGGAATTGGCAGAACCGCTGAAGCTCTTCACAGACATCAAGGTTTTGTCTTCGCCATCGGACATACCGCTGGTGCTGGTGCTAGATTTGATTATACTTCCTTTTCTTCTCACATCGTGAACGGATTTCCTACGTTCTTCGTCGAAGTATTTTTGGGCTAGCTCTATTTGGTCAGGGAGAGCCAGGTTCGGGGTGCTAGCTACATTGCGTTGTTTTTTCGATATAGGAGTAGAAGTGTAAGCTTCTTCCAAGAAACTATCGTTTTGGGGCAAATTTTGCGAGCTGCTCAATATACTCTGCAAGCTTTGTTCGGAAATGGCTTTCAGAACTCTCTTGTCGAATTCTACTATGGGCGACTTGGGTAGCTTGGGCTTCCGTCTGTTGTACAAGCTGTGTTCGTCGTCACTGAGGTCAACCCTGTTCGACATAGCTTCCGAGTAGCTGCCTTCTCGCTTGTAGTGACTCATATTTTCAGTATCTTCTTTTTCTACAACAATTTCATTATTTTCTTTGGGAAAGTCGAATCGAAGGTCCGCGAGATTCCAGTCCTTAGCAGCCACCGAGTCACTGGCTTCGCGATTCGCACTTTTAGTCAACTCACTGATGAAATTCAAGTCCTTAGGGACACTGGACACACACACAGTGTTCACTTCGTTTTCTTTACTGTCCGTCTGAAATAAGCTCGGTTCACTGCTGGACGAGAACGACGTTTTATAATTAGACTTTCGGTCACATTCTTGGTGTGCGTCTAATTTTAAAATTTTCGTGAGGACGTCAGAGATGTCATTGGTGAAATGGGAACGCTGTTTTTTCATGTTGAAATGGTCGATCAATGGAGATGTCTTCAAGGAGTCTAGCTGATTGTCCTTGAAGCTGGTAAGGTCTTGATAGCTCACTCCAAAATTCCCGCTGAAATTCTGTAAAGAAACCCGTGAAAATAATAAATAATTGAACAAAAAATAAATGAAAGTTGGTTTGGGTAATGAAATGAAAATAAACTGAACATTAATAGGAATTTGTTGCAGGAAATTGCTGTACTAGAACCTCGACTAGAACAAATGAGTGATGTATTAGTTATAGAAATGTGAATGACCTTATCATTTCATATATGATCAGTAGACTAATCACCATACTAAATTTGCGCCATCTAGCTATCAAGTGAATATTTGGTATTCATTCAAATCATAAAAAAACATATTATATCAAGAACACTCTTTTTCATGACTTATAACGTTTCGATATCATATTATAGGTTAATGTGAAAGAGGAGACATATTCATGATTAAGTTGATCTCAATAAGTAATGAAAAATTTTATTCTGGTGCATGTGCTAGTGTACAGTATGCTGGTGGTATAATTGCATTATGAAGTACTTCAGATAATTAGAGATATACTGCTACCCAGATGGCACCAGATTATGTCAATGTTCGATTTGGAAGATATAAACTCGCCAGTAAAAAAACCGGCAACCCTTATAGTTATTGAAAATTATAACCACTAAACTATTTATTCATTTATTGAATGTATGATTTAGGAAAACTTGATAAAATATTTCTCAGGGTGGCAGTTTTTTATTGCTGGTGAGTGCGTATTTATATATCCAGATATCATTTAGAAATCCTGGGTATTTCAGATTCATTTTCGAATATCCACAGATCATTCGATTGAGAATATTCTGAAATCAACCTTTCCATATTCCGTTTTCTAGAAATTTTTCCAAGAGTATTTCTGCCAATTTCAATGAAACTCAGTTGTTATGTTAATGGTCACATATATGGAGCTTCTTCTGAGATAATCAGATTCAAAATGTTGATTCCAGTGGCTTCGCAGTGGGCTACTTTGATGGTGGATATCATTGAACGCCACTGTTTTTCCTAAGTTTATTATGATTATTAGATTGAGAAATTGAAAATATAACATTTTTTGTCATTTGTGTTATAAACTTCTGAAACTGAATAAGTTTTCGAGGAAGCAATAAAAATTCGATGACTCAAATTTTTATTGTAGATATCCTCAAGACGCCAATTGGGATTACTAAGTAACCTCGATAATGTAATTCTGAAATCAAGCTATACTGACTGTCACTAATCAGACTGAATTTTGTAACCATGAAAGCTTTTATATACAAAGGAAATATGAAAAAAATAATTATTACTCCCTCTATCTCAAAACAAAAGGTGTACCAGTGCCACAGTTTTTTTAAAATTTTTCTATTTGAATAAACCGCCCAACTCATCAACGCCAAACTCATTAACACCCAACTTATCAACGGTCCAACTCATCAACGGCCGAACTCATCAACACCCAACTCATCAACGGTCCAACTCATCAACACCCAACTCATCAACGGTCCAACTCACCAACGACCCAACTCATCATCGTTACAGGTCATTAACGACACAATTCATCAACGACCCGACAATCCATGCATTACTACCAGAATAATATCGAAGGTAATACCTCTACTCCTTCATATTTTATCGATAATTTTATCTAATTCGATCTGTTTCAATGATTTCGCCTCAAATGAAATAGTTTGAGTTATGAAAATGAAAAATAATCGGATAAAATTTGAAGGACGAGTTGTATTTGAGAAGAATAATTTTTTCACTAATTTGATGAAAAGACACTAGCAAATTTCACGGGTCAAATTAATTCTACGTCCTTCAATTATGATATTTATGATTCATCGAAAAGTTCTGAATGTGATGTGTGTTGGTATAACGGTTGCACACATTTGTGATCACAAGCGAGGATGCGTACGTCGTGTTTCCTCAGAGGAACAATAGTCGATTTTATTGTTATTTTCACATGAGAAAGGTTGAAAAAGAGAAGATGATGGATTCATTTACGAATATTCACAGATCATTCGATCGAGAATATTCTGAAATAAACCTTTTGTGGATATTCATTATTTATAACTTATTCCGTTTTCTAAATATTTTTTCAAGAGTATTTCTGTCAATTCCAATGGAACTCAGTGGTTATGTTAATAGTCCCATATATGGAGCTTTTTCTGAGTAATTAGATTCAAAATGTTGATTCCAGTGGCTTCGCAGTGGGCTACTTTGATGGTGGATATCATTGAACGCCACTGTTTCTCCTGAGTTTAATATTCTTATTAGATTGAAACATTAAAAATACAACTTTTTTGTCCCTTGTGTTACTTTTGAATGGCACTTAGTTTTCGAGAAAGCAATAAAATTCGATGACTCAAATTTTTATTGTAGATACCCTCAAGACGCCAATTGGGATTACCTCGATGAATGTAATTCTGAAATTAAGCTTCTCTGACTGTCACTGATCAGACAGAATTTTCCAACCATAGATGCTCTTATATACAGAGGTATTATAAAAATAAAAATGATTACTCCCTCTACCCAAACAAAAAAAAAATGGATTTGTATTTGAGAAGAATTTTTTTTTTACCAATAATTTGATGAGAAGACACTAGTAAACGAAGGTGATATGTGTGTTGCACACATTTTTGATCACAAGCGAGGATGCGTACGTCGTGTTTCCTCAGCGGATTAATAATAGATTTTATTGTGATTTTCTCATAAGATAGGTTGAAAGAGAGAAGATGATGGATACTGGTAAGTCAGACTGATTTCGACAGTTCAATGTAAACAAGGTTTTATCGAGGACCATAATAATATGCAGTGTTATCAGTATAATACCGAATGATTGGCTAAAATTACGCATTGCTATTGGTTGAAACAACGAAAACATCACATTTTGACATGTGAAAAAAATAATCTAAATCATCACTTATCACACCTACCACTGTTATTTTTTTATATAATTTGTTATCTGAAGATGATTTGGTGACATCTATATATCATATTAGTCCAAGCGCCGGCTGAAAATTCCGACCGCCATCTGATAACGAAAGGGATATAAAACCATTGTAGTTTATCGAATGGCATCTGTGGCAATCACTATCCTGAGCAAAATAATTGAAAACTTGCACTTTCCTGTACGGAAATTTGCCTCTCAGGTAGCGCAGTGTCCCTGTTGCGTAGTTATCTATCAAATAGGACTCAAAGTGTGATTATCGAAGAAAATCAATCTACCACTCTCGTGAAACCTTCTGGAGTACCACAGGGATCTGTACTGGGACCACTCCTGTTTGCGCTATATATAAGTGATTTTCATGAACACATAAGGTATGGCAATATACATCATTACGCTGACGATACACAATTATATAGATCTTTCAGTTTTGATGACTTAAAACATGCTGAAGTTGAAATCAATGAAAATCTTCAAGTTTCGTGTGCTCACAACTCGAAACTGAACCCTAAAAAATCCCAAGTCATGCTTTTTGGTCCAAGAACTAATAAACATATTGTGAGTGACACTATTTTTATTCGAATCGACGGCAACGTTATACCTTTTGTCGATGAATGCAAAAATCTGGGTTTATATCTTGATACTAATATGAGATTCACTAAACATGTAAGCCACTTATGTTGGTTATCTTTCAATATGCTGAGACAGTTATATCCTAGTAGGGACCTGATTTAAAAAAATATGAAGTTGAGACTGTGTGAATCTCTCATTTTTTCGAGACTGTCCTACTGTGACTGTATTTATGGTTCATACGTCCATGGTCCTGCCCTACTAAATAGATACAGATGCTACAAGGCTACAGGGGATACAAAATAGTTGCATACAATTTTCATACGGTATCCGTAAGTATGACCATATTAGTACATCCTTCCAAGATTCAGGTTGGCTGAAATTAAAGCTGTGGAGGGAGATGCATATGCTAACTCTCACCCATAAAATATTGGGAACTGGATACCCGCCTTATAGTAGAGTGCCAAACGAATCGTAAGTCGCTTAGATCAAAAGTTGGTGGGAAATCGGAGGTAAAAAGCTGTGACATGGCTAGAATTGTTACCTACCATCTCCAGATCATGGATCCACTTGTCGTCAAAAAATCGTCCTGTGCGTTTGGGGGGTAGGGGGTAATTTATAAAAAAATATGGATTTTTTTTTCTTCGTGGAAAATATTGAGGGGTTTCAGAACTTTCACCCTGTTGAATCTTGATTTCGTGTGACAAGTGGAACAAATTATAGAAAATTTTGAAATTCACCAATTACATTACGATATATGAGGAAATCATATTTCAAACGGCTATAACTCGAAACTTGTAAATTTTCGTTAAATTGCTTTTCATTTACCTCGCATTATCTCAGTAACTACAACGTTTATCAAAAAAATACTTCAAATAATGTCGATGCGCCTATGTTTCAAGATGCGAATGGTTCTTCGATTTTGAAAATCGAAGCATAAATAAGGAAGATATTGGGAAAATAATAATCCAATGCAGGTAGTACGAAGGACCGCGGTCCGCCGCTTTCATACCCCGATTCTCCCCGCAACGCCCGCAGCCGTCCTAGTACGATCACCGTAAATATGAATTACTGAGTTACAGAATTACGATCATGGAATTCACGGGAAAAATGGAATCGATCGCTGTTTTCCAAGTTAACAGAAATTTCTTTTAATTTGCTGTTTGATTGGAAGTGACCTCAATTTATTTTATGAATGATTCTATCTCGAAAGTACATTTTTTATCCATCAGAGTAAAATGTCACCCATCTCATTTATTAACAAATTGAGAAATATTGAAACAAAACATGATGCATATAATATTGAAATAAAGATAAGATACCCTGTGGAAACTTGAAAAAAACATCCTTTGATACCAATCGAATTGCAAAGTTGTAAATATTTTTATACGATACAGTGTCCACAAGAATACAAAGCTTCGATAATTTTTTTCGATCATATATCTTGATGAATCATCATTTTCAAACCAACGTGTTTTGGTGTGAGTTTTTTGAATTTCGAATTAGCGAGTATTATACCTTGACATCAGATACTCAACACCTTTGAATCAAT